AGGGGCTCCTGGCTGGCACAGTCGGAGAAGTGTGCGTGTGCGACGCTTGATCTCGGGGTTGTGAGTCTGAGCCCCATGGTGGGTGTGGAGATTACTTAAAAGTAAAACTTTTAAAAATGATTTTGAGGGGCCCCTGGGCAGCTCAGTCGGCGGAGCGTGCGACTCTTGATCGCGACTCCGGTCGTGATCTGGTCGTGATCGCTGGCGGTGCTGGGCTCCTGCCCCCTGCCCCTCCCCCTGCTCCTGCAAGCGCGTGCGGTCTCTCTCACAAATAAATAAATCTTTAAAAAAATGATTTTGAGTACGAAGCGCTTTGTGTGCATATTTAATCCCCACGACAGTCCCATAAAATAGGGAAGTCGAGGCACAGAGAGGTTGTTCCCCTGCCCCCACAATGGTGGGGGCGGGACCGCGGGAGCAAGGCCAGCCTGGCCTATCTCCCTCCCTCAGGGCGTCAGCACACCCAGCTGTGGGCAGGGCAGGGCGCAGGAGCATGACTAGGGAGGAGTGTTGGGTTGGGGGCTGTCTAGACAGGAGGTCTTCTTCCGGCTTTTCAGCTGCCTTCTCACACACCCTTTATTTTTAAATAATAATAATAATAATTATTATTATTTTAAAGATTTTATTTATTTGTCAGAGACAGAGGGAGAGAGAGTGAGCGAGCACAGGCAGACAGAGAGGCAGACAGAGGCAGAGGGAGAAGCAGGCTCCCTGCCGAGCAAGGAGCTCGATGTGGGACTCGATCCCAGGACGCTGGGATCATGACCTGAGCCGAAGGCAGCCGCTTAACCAACTGAGCCACCCAGGCGTCCCAAAATTATTATTATTTTTAAAGATTTTATTTATTTATTTGATGGATAGAGATCACAAGTAGGCAGAGCAGCAGGTAGAGAAAGAAGGGGAAGCAGGCTCCCCGCTGAGCAGAGAGCCCGACGTGGGACTCGATCCCGGGACCCCGAGATCAAGATCTGAGTCGAAGGCAGAGGCATAACCCACTGAACCACCCAGGTGCTCCTTTATTTTTAAAAGATTTTTATTTAATTGAGAGAGAGGGAGAAAGGGAGAGAGAGGGAGCATGAGTGGGGTGGCGGGGTGCTGGCAGAGGGAGAAGCAGGCTCCCTGCTCAGCAGGGAGCCCATTACGGGACTCGATCCTGGGACTCCCGGATCACGAAGGATCGTGACCTGAGCCTGAGGCAGACGCCTCATGGACTAAGCCACACAGGCTAAGCACAGTCCCTGCCTCGGCCGGCCATCATGAAGTGGAACCTGTGGACACCAGGCAGCCCGGTGCGGGGTCACTGCCCATGTCTAGCGCAGACTGTGCGACAGGGAGGTAACCCAGAGCCAAGGCGAAGGCCCCAGTCCCCACCCAGGTGCCTGAGGGCTGAGGCCCGCCCTCCCCTCCCCTCTGTTGCCGCCACCACCTCCACACAATTCTGCGAGCTGAAGGCTCAGCACAGGGTGGCAGAACCGGACGCTTGGGGCCTCGTCGCTAACCTGCACCGGGCTGTGTCCCTAACCCAGCTGCCTGCTTCTGCTTCCAGCGGTGGGAGGCGATCCGGCAACAGGGTCTGCTTCCGAGCTCACTCCCAGCTCGCCTTGGGGGTTCCGGGGCGCCACCAGTCACTTCACTGGTTCCCAAGCCCCGATCTTGACAGGCGGGGTGGTTCCCCAGGGCCCCGATGGCCACGCTCCTCACCGGCTGGTAGAATGGTAAACTCCTGGAAAACACCGGGGACAGCCACTGCTAGCCGAGTGAAATGTGGCCTCCCCAGGCATCTCCTAAGACCTTTCATGACCTGTCCTAGCTTGCCTCTCCAGCCTTGCCCCTCAGGGATCCGAGCCTACCCAAACTCACAGCCCCTTCGAGAGGAGTCAAACTAAACACGCGGCTAGGATTCTACATACGTGGGGACCTTCGGGGTGAAATGAGGGGACTCAGCCTGGCACCATCCTTTGCAGGCTACGTGGGACGCTCAGCATCCCAGCAAGACCCCTGCTGTTCCCTCCAGATTCCCGTCCCCCACCGGCTTCCCTAGTACTGGCTTGTCACGTGCTCCACAAAACCACCTTCACGGAGCTGTAGTTCACACACCGCAGAACTCGCCCTTTCGGAGTAACCGTGACTCAGTGGTTTCTGTGACGTTCGAGTTGTGCGACGGCCAGCACGAGCTGCACAACACTGCCATCCCTCCAAGGACACGTGGGTCGACAGCCCCGCTCACCTTGGCCACCGCCGGCCTTGGCTCCGTCTCAGCAGACTTGCCTATTCTGGGCATTTCCTACCAACAGAACCAGACGAAGTGTGGCCTGCTGGGTCTGGTTTTGTCAGGCGTTTTTTTTTGTTTTTTTTTTTTTTTAAATTTTAATTCTAAAGTAAGCTCTATGCCCAATGCAGGGCTTGAACTCACCACCCTGAGGTCAAGAGCCGTGTGTCCCACCCAGCCGGCCAGGTGGATGCCCCTGTGCCATGCGCTCTTCATCCTCGGGACAATCTCGAGATAGAAATTTCCCCTGCACACCGGTGTCCCTGGCTTCAGCTGTCCCTTTTCTGGCAGTGGCCGGTAATGCCAGCATAAGACAGTCCCCGAAGCCATCAGACCTGCCTCCCCCTGTGCGACAGGACGAAGCGGGTGGGGTGGGGTGGGTGGGCACAGGCTCGGCAAGTTCTCGGACAGGACGGCCCTGGCGCAGCATGTCAACACCACCAACGCCCTGCAGACGTTACTTAAAAGTATTTTTTTATTTAACTTTAATTTCTGAGGTAAAATACTTTTTTCTTTCAACTTCCATAACAAAATACAGAGCTATCAGATACCCCTGGAAAAAATATGTATATTATACATATATCTCTATAACATTACATCATATATATATATAATATATATGCGAAAATCTGAAGACTGTATAGAAAGTGGGACGTCTAAAAGGCACTGCACGATGGAGTCGGTTACGTACACCTATGTACACGTACACACTTCCCTCCGCTGCCACGGGCAACTCGCGACGTCCGGGTCACACGCGAAGGTCTCACTCACAAATCCGTGCCTCACAATTTTAGGACTCAAACAACGCCCAGGCATTGAAACCAAATGAACTGATAACTCTCCCCACCCCCCAAAGTGGAAAATAGAACAGTTCTTGAAAGACTGGATCGAAACAATGTTTAAGCAAAATTAAAACGTTCCATTACTCTTTACAAAACAAAAAGTACAAACATAATCACGGAATAAATAAAAAAGGAGGGACAAACAGCCAACTGACTACCCGCTTGGTGAGAAGTGGTGTACTCGACTGTGATTTAATGCTTCCCAACGCCTCGCGGCCCGCGGAGGACCAGGGCGCAGTGCGTCCCTGCGCGAGCTGGAGAGCCGGCTTAATGCAGTGCAGCCTGAAGACTGGGGTGAAGGGACCTGGGGAGTCGCTTACGGGACACCCCAGCCGTCCCTAAAAAAAAAAAAAGGAGCTCAGCAGTGGACGTTCTCAAGAGATCCGTTTTCTCCTATGGTAAAAGCAAACTGTTTCCATGAACAAGTTCTTAATGAAATTTTAAGATTTGTATCTGCAAAGTTTTACACGTTTGGCACAGCGAAATTCGGAAACAATCGGGGTAGAAAACGGTCTGATTTTATCCCCCCTTTCCCTTCTGCTGCCGGACAGTGATGAAACGTGCACGAGAGGAAGGCCTGGCTTTGCACCCGACTGGCGACAGGTGCTGTCAGGAGCGGGTCTGGCAGGGTGAGAAAGTACCCGCGACCCCTTTACCCCAGGAAATGCCGATGACTTCCACATTCCCGGTCCCCTTCCCGAGCAAGCCCAAGTCTGGCTGCGGGAGGACCCCCAACCCCGGCCCCGGCGTGCAGCGCACATCAACCAATGACTCACTGCGGAAGGCCAGTCAAAGGAAACAGTAAAACACCAACCAATTCCTTAAAGCCGGAAAACATTTTTCATGGGAGTTGAACATTTTTCGAGTGTGGTTTTTCAAGTTAAAAGCAGTGACTTTTTCCAACAGAAGCAGCATCTAGCAGTTAGTTCCGGCACTTGGGTTCCAGGGCTTCCAGGCCTGCCTGCGGATTTCTCTCCCTCTTATTTTAAAGGCCTCGAGTTTCTATTCCTGAGTTCGTACCGACACGTGCCGGCCCTCTGCTCTCGCGGACAGAGCGGGGAGCCAGCCAGCCTCCCTGGTTAGACTGGGCAACGCCAAGCAGAGAGCCGTCCCGCACCCGCCCGGGCTTGCTTTCCGATCCGAGGTAAGAGGTGCAGAGAGAGAAATGGGCAAAAACATAACCAACCCAAAGGAGCCTGAACAGGGAGCCCTCTGCAGCCCGACCAAAGCCCGAGTTGGGACGAGACCGAGCTCCCGATCCCTTCCCTCGGGAGAAACAAGTCACTATTTGGAATCTGAACTGAACAAGGACGACGCTTGCCAGACAACAGCACGACGGACTCGCGTCATCCCGAGCCACCTGTCAACCCACTCCCCGGCTGACCGCTTCCCGCCCCGCACGCGTGGGCTCCTTTCAGAAAGGTCCCCAACCCCGTTCACAGACAACCCCGAACGCTGCTCAGGGTACAGAGTCTACTTAGGCTAAGGCGGAGTTGGGGTCTCTCCAGCCCTTAGATGGCGCCCCCGGGCCCGCTTCTAGCCTCCGTGGGCCACACAGCCCTCCCCTCTCGCCGCCTCCTTGACGCCAGGCAGACGCGAGTGGCCTCGGCACCACCTCCGCGTGCACGTGACCGCACGTGCGGACGGGTCATGCACCGTCAGCGTGGTCACGTGCGCGCACAGGCGAGTGGCCATGGCTTCTCTGCCCCCCGGGGCCGCCCCTTCTGCTTCACGCAAGAGCGCCACCTTCCTAGTCCTTCATGCTGACGGGAGGGGCCGTCCCACGGAGAAACCGCTCCTGCCTGTGCACTGGTCTCCCGTGCCATCGAGTCGATCGTGAGGACGAGAACAATCTAGGGAAGTGGGCGTGGCGGGGATGGCACCACCACAGCGGGACAGACGCGGCTCCTTCACTCCCACCAGGCTCTGGCGTCTGGCTACCTTCCGTGTCTCCGTCCACTCCGCCTTCAGCCTCGACAAACATCCCCTCGCACCCCAGCTACCTTCTGCGCTTCGGGGTTCCATCGGCCCCGAGCTCCCGCCATCCTGCCCTTCTGCTCCCCGGCCCCATGAAGTCAAGGGGGACCACCGAACCCCAAGTCCACAGGTCACCACGTTTCAACATTCCTGGGTTGTCTTAAGAGTTGTCCGTCCCCTTTACAGGTTTATGCTGACTGACCCGTAGCACGCGACGAAAGTGTGTTCATTGTTAAGGCTTCACTTGGGACACGGTCAGAGACCCAGACGCAGCGCAGACATCTCCAGGGTCAGGCCGCTCGGTGGACTCCCTCAGTCTCTGCGGTCTGGCTCCCCGAACCCACATGGAAAAGGAAAAATGACCATCATTTTCGTGTTCTGTTTTTAAAGGCATCGGGTTACTTCCTCACGCCCTCTTCTTTCTTCCCTGAACGAGAGCTTACGAGTCCTCATGGCTTCTTAGCAGGTGAAGGAGGGGCGCGTGCGAGGGGCCCACAGCCTGGCTGCCCGCCCCCCACGCCGCCCCCCTGCGCCTCGGCCCTCCCAGCCCCCGGGACTGGCACCGCGGCTCCTGCTTCCTGCAGCTGGTTTTCTGAGAAGGAAAGGAAAAAAAATGCCAAACAACAACAAAGGAAGAAAGAAAAAAAAAGCAACATGTGAACACCCCCCTCCCAGTAAGACTGAGATTACCTTACTCCTCCCCCAAAGGAACTACACAGAAGCATTTCAGGCGACACACTTGGTATAATGGTCTCTCGCTGCTCAGCCTCCCCACCGCGCCCTACTCCCTTCTCCCTCGGTCTCCGAGCAAAAGAAATTCATTAATGGCTTTTCAGAGATAAATACAATAGAAAAGAAAGAAGTCTGGAACCTGAACTGCAACGGGACCAAGGGCGCCTCGGCCCCCTGGCAGTCCGTCAGAAAGTGTAAGAAGCTTCCTCCCCAGGAAGCAAAGGTGCTTCCTCCTTTCGGTTCACCAGCCTTCCCGGGTGCTGCTCACCAGGAAAGAGGGTGCTCACGTCCCCCCTAATTTACAACAGAAGACACCCATCCCATGCCCCAGACGTAAAAATACAAGTCTATGCCCCTACAAGGATCCAACCAGTCTCATTCCCTCCCTCCCTCCCCCCAACCCTGACCTCTCGCTACATAAATCCACGTGTGCGTCTGATGACGGGAGAAACCGCTCCCGAGCCGCTTCCCGTCCTAGGCGTCGGCGGCGGCCGTGGCCAGGCCCCGGGGCCCCGGCCCACTCCAGAGGACCCGGCCGCTCTTGCTCGGCTCTCGGGCTCCGGGGGCGCCATTCCAGCGCCGCTTCAGCCGGAGCTTGGGGGGCATGAGGGCGTCTTCCTTCTTCTCAGGCGCGCTGGGCTCTCTGCCAGGCCTGTCCTCGCTGTCGTCAGTCACCTCTAGGGCTTCTTCACTCGGGCTGCTCGCGGGGCCGGGCGGCCAGACCGGCGCGGCCGGGCGGGCAAAGACGGCGCCCTTCTCCTCCTCTGTGGTCCTGCTCGGCACAGCGCCCGCCTCGCGGGAGCGCTCCTCCTCTCGCCCCGACGGCCGGACACTCTCGGGGTCCTTGTCGGAGACCGGCTCCACCTTAACCCTTGGGGGGACAGGAGCCACGGCGGGCGCGGTGCCGGGGCCGGACGGCTCACTGCTCTCCGCCCTCTCGCGGTTCTTCCGCCCGGCGGGCGGCGGCTGCAGCTTGATGGAGAACTGGGCGGACTCCTCGGGATGCGGCTGGCACTGCAGCGGCGGGACCGTGAGTCCTGGGTAGCGGGGAAAGGTCCGGGGGCTCAGATGGTAGTTGAACACAGAGCAGGCCTGAGAGTGCAGGTAGCGCTTCATCTCCTCGGGGTTGAAGGAGAAGCAGCTGCTGCTGGTGAAGGGGCTGAGGCCGGGCGACGGGCTGTAGGAGAAGACGGTGGGGGTCAGGGAGAGGGCCGGTGAGATGGGGACGCTCAGAACACCTCCGCGGCCGGGGAGCGGAGAGACCGCGAAGGGGCTGTGCGGGTCAGGGTACACCCCAGGCCTGCCGAACAGAGGGAGCACGACGTCAGGCTTGCGTTTCGGATGGCCGAGCCCCCCTGCGACAGCGCTCCGGGAGGACAGGAGATCCACGCCCCGGCGCCAGTCGGCGGCTGAGCCGTCCTCCAGCCCCGGAAGCTCCCCCGTTCTATCCGCGCCATTGCTCGACTCCTGGCCGGAGGCAGCGAGGGAGCTCACGGAGAACCGGCCCGGCTGCGCGTCACTCGGTGGAGAATGGGGGTCCAGAGGTGGGAAATGGAACCGGGAAGAGGCGGTTGGCACTGGTGGCGCACTCTGGGGAACCACACCTGTGATGGGGGAGAAGACAAAGGCCGCTTTAGAGGACTGGCCATGCGTCGTCAGCGCGGTCCCTCATGCTACGTGAGCCCAAGATGTTTCCATCTCGTTACGACAGGAAGCCAACACTCCAGCCGCGCCGACTCCCTCTGCTTCCCGTCTTCCCGGGAGCACAGCTCAGCTTCCGTGACTTGAGCCGGCTGCCATCCCTCCCTAGCCCTTGCCAACCCTGTCTTCACCCTTTACTGCCCGAGACAAACATTTATTGTTCATCGGGACTCGAGAACATCGATTCCACGAAGGTGGGGACCTGCTACGGTTCACAACGAGCCGTGAAGCAGCTCGTAGTTAACACCTAGTTGGGGCGAAGCAGCGGCCGGGCGGGCGCGGGAGCCTTCCCTCCTCCAGCTCTAAGCACTGCGCGTAGGTCCCCTGCGGCAGTTCTCAGCTCGCTGAACGGTCTCCTTTTATTTTCATAGTTTTGGTTTTATCTATCAAGCAAGAAGCAAACCAAACACACACACTGGAAACGATGCGTGCGGAAAGCGATGCATTAGAAGCCCAAAGACTCTGGACCTCACATAGATGGAATCGGGCAAGACCAGATTTAAGAACAAAAGCAGATTAAGAAAGGAAAGGCCGTATGTTCGTTAGGATGAGTTCTCATGGAAGACTTTATACTGTTTCTGATATAAAATCACCACAGGGATTCAAGTATTTCTCGACCTCTCTGAATCTGTTTTTCTCTAACGCATTCTACGCAGCGATCTCCATTCCCATCCTGCTTGCACTGCCACTCAGGCCCCGAGCAGGCTGGGGGACGGTACAGGACCGCCCCCCACCCCCAGGCCCTCTCCCGGGTCAGCCTGCTAAAACCAAAACTCGCCTCAATGCAGAAACCGACACCACGCTAAACACGTCCGATTCAGAGGCCCACAGGTTCTCCACTCCCCCAAAAGGTCCTTCTCTGAACGAGGCCTAAGAAAGGTGTGTGCCGCCAGAGGCCTCAGAGCCCCTTCCGTAAGTGATGTCACGAGGACTTTTTACACTCTGGGGCAGAGATAAGGGAGAAGGAAAAATAAGGAAACCCCAGTGAGGGTACGGTGACCCAGAAGAAGAAACAAAACAGGGCGTGAAGCCTGGCGTGACTGAGAAGTGCCCCCATCAGCTGCCTCCCTCCGTTTCTGAGTAACGGGCCATCCTCAGCCGGGACCCTGGGTTTGGCAGTCGTGGACATTGTGGCTTCCAAGGCACATGCGACCGAGTGACACTGCCCGAGTGGCACTTCCCAAACTGAAGTTCCACAGAAACTGCTCTTTGTCCCCTAAAGCCAATGACCCAATCCCTCAATCAGGAAATGCTGGTGCCTGACCTTGCATGTAATATGACTGGCATCAAGAAGGTCCCAGGCCCAAAGTCTGTCTCCTCCGGCCTACAACCGCAGCTAAAATTCCAGCTACTGTTTGATTCACTTGGGTCTGGATATAGGTCAAGAGCTCATCTACTGAAAAGCAAAAAACCACTTTCCACGTGTGCTGAAGGACTACAGGAGTAGAACGCGGTTGGGGCGAGAGGCCAGAGAAGGGCTTGTCTCCCGAACGATTTACTTTTGTTTCTTTTTAAACCGGAGGGTCCTCCCTTCTTTACGCAGGGTAAGGTACGCTGGACACTTGCAAGAAGAGCAGAGAACACACGGCACGTTCCACGCGAACTTAGGGAAGGTGTGACCGAGGAGCGATGCTGGCGGGGGCGCTCGGGACCCTCGCCTCGGACCCAGTGCAGCCGCCCCACTGTCACATGGGGTATGCGGAGACAACAGATCCAAGGCTTTGTTTGACAAGTAAGCTTCCTGCGTCCACAGCTCTGGAGGCAGACGACCTTCAAGGAGCCACTGGGAAACTGGAGCGGCCTAGCGGACACATCCGGGTGAGAATCGCAGCTCCTGCACCTTGTTTCGTGGCACGTGACCAAATGGCTTTTGACCCCTTTGGCAAAATGGAAATAACAAGACCCTTGCCTAGGTTCAGACCCTGGCTCTACTGTTTCTTAGCTGTGTGACTCTGGAACGCCTTGCTTACTTTTCTGTGCCTCCGTTTCCTTATCTGTAAAAGGGATAGCGACAGGACGAATCCTCATGTTATGAAAACTTAAAGGGTAACAGTATTGGCACACGGCAAGGTGCATGTCAGGTATTTGTTAAGACAAGTAATTTTTTATTACACAATAATCACACTTTAAAAACAAACACTGTAAAAGGCACATACTATTGGAATATGCACCGTATTGGAGACAAGAATCGTAGAGTCGTGTTCAATTTCCCAGGTGTATTAACGTTACTGGGGTCATGGAGGAGAATGTCCTGTACCTGGGGGATACGCCAAGTACCCAGGGGACAAATGTCACCATGTCTGTAACTTAACCTCAAAATAACTTAAAAAGTACGTGTAAGAGGAAAAACATATGTGGCAACAGTGTCGATCATTAGTGAATCTACAGAGGACACGTGGGTGCTCACAGTTCTGTTTTTCCCCATTTTTCTATGGGTTTAAAGTCTTCCAAAAGACAGAAATACCGCATGGGGCGGGGTAGGGAGGCACAGAGTGAGCGCTCCTGAACCCGCCCGCCCTGCCCGCTGGGGTCTGCTCCTCATTTCCCCGGGATGTTCCCACAGCTTCTTATGAGGAACAATAAATGTTCAAAAGTACAGAGTAATTATTTTATAGCTTTCAGGAGTAACGACGACCTACTGCACGCAGAAGTACTCCCCGCACCACCCAAATATCAAGCATTCTACCCTGCACTGTCAGAGGGGAGGTCGTCGATGTGGAGAGGGAGGGAGAGCGCTCACTTTGCTTCTTACTCCAGACCTCTGGGTCACCTGGGCAGGTACCACCGCCACCCAGACAGGACCTCGCTGACCTCGGCGGCCTAGAGAGCTCGCCACATTCCACACGGCTACTCGGAAATGTGCTCAAGCTCACCTATCTTATCTCTCCTGCTAGTTCTGAAGTTCCTCGAGAGAAGACCTCCTCCATAATCTTTTCTTTTTGTGTTTAGGATGGCGTCCCAGTCCGGGCGAGAACGCAGGACTGTTCAGCCCAAGCTGGATTTCTCGCTCAGTCTCTCAGCAACGGTTTCCCGAGAAGCCGCTCAGCAGGTAACTGTGCTCGACCTGCCCGTGTCCGTCTTGGACTTCGCTGTCCTCCGTAATTTTCTCATTTGTAAACTGTGAGTATTGAGATACACGCTTTACAGCAGGCTGGGAGAGTTAAAGGTGGTCACTCACAAAAACACCAAGCAAAAGTACGTCCGTGAAACAAACGCTCAGTAAACGTCACCTTTCCTGTCACCGTAAAAGTTGAATCCGGAACATTTGGCCCCTCTGGGCAAATTTCTTTATGAGCTAATGACTCCCGCTCTCCGGCGTTATCTATACCCAGGATACCCAGGACGTAAACAACCAAGTACGTACCTAAACGAAAGGCACACGGCTCTCCCTTCCCTGTGACTTCATTCCACTAGGGTCTCGAGCTTTGTTAAGGATCAATGCTGGTCCCACTGCTTTCAGGGAGATGAGGCTATGGTAGGCCATTGCCATTAGGCTAGAAGACCAGAGTCTTCCCAGAGTGAGGATCCTCATTTTCTCACCCTGGAAGGGCACACTACTCCCCAGGGCTGGTGGGTGTGCCCTGTTCCAGGCTGCCCAAGAGCCGGACTTCCGGATTTTCAACAGACAAAAATGGGTCAAAGACCTAATAACAAAGCAACGAAGCCCTTTCTGGTGGGGAGCAGGGGTGAATGGTATGGAACAGCAGCACGTTCTCAGAATTGCTGGTATATCCACGTCGAGTCCCAATTCCTCTAGGTACTACACAGGAAAGGGGCAAGAGTGAAAACGAGAGGAAACGGGATTCCAGTGGCTACAATAGGTCTGATTTCCTAACACCTCCTTCTCAGGCACCAGGCAAGAAAACAGGTTGTAATTAGATGCATTCCAATACCACTTTTTTTTTTTAGCACATGCCCCAGGGACCGGAGGGCGTGGCTACAGGAGAGATGAGACGGAACTGGACGATAGCAGCATCAAGCCCGAACTGCCCTAACTTGTTGTGTGCAGTTAGTGACCTATCCGCAGTGGATCTCAGCAGTACAGCCTCGGCCACACCCTGCTCCGATTTTTCAAGTTTCTTCCGACTCTTCTCTGAGAAGTCAGACGACCGCAGCACCATCAGCTTCCTTGGCTTTAACACACATGGCCACGGAGTACTGACGGACGGGTCAGAAACTCGTTAAACACCAACTACTTTCCTAGAGAGCGAGAGGTCTTGACTCTGAAATGAAAGCAACCAAGCCCCTTCGGAGAGACTGGACAGAGGCCGCCCTGAAGCCCCGCGAGGAGCTGTGAGGGAGAGCTACGCGCCTGCAGCCCAGACGGGAAGCCTTGCTGCACTTGAGAGCAAAGAAGGTCAAGTAACCCCGGATCTTACTCTCTGAGGTGCTGGGGCAGATCAAAGACACTGCTTCTCACTGCAAACACAGACCTCCCCTTCTGTGATTAAGGATGCTGTGGTTTTGATGATATTCACTTGATAAGGGAGAGCTTGATAGTTTCACAGAAAATCGGAAGTGCTTGTAGAAACCGGTTCTCGTCTACGAAAGAGCCGTGGGGCAGGGCGTTAACACTGAGTTCTAGACTGAAGGACGAACAGGAACCTACGGAACGTAAATCCTAAAGACGACAGAGGAAGAGTATCTGGGAGACACAGATAATATGCACGAAGGAGAACCAAATAAACACCTCAACACATCTCTCTGATCAGCAGAGCCTGTCACTCCCCGCACAGAACAAACAGAAACCACGGCAAGACTGTGGGCAAGACCGTGGGCAAGACCGTGGGGCCCATCCACGCGACTCCAGTCTTTCTACAAATCCTTTAACGCGCCAGGTCTTAGACTTGGGCTTTTAAACTTTTTTTATCAACTCAGAATATCAAACGGAAAGAGTTTGCTTCTTACCACTCGACCGAATGTTGATGAATGGGTAGTTGGGCATCACCAGCTTGTTGAAGTTAAATTTATACGTAAACCTTTTCCCTTTTGTTTTATGAAGGATCCTCTTGTTGTAATAGTATCTGTAGAAACAGGAAGAGGTGTCACTCGATCTTCTAACTACTGACAATTTCTGACACACACAGGTAACCACTGATCAACAGTTCCAGCTCTAGGCATGACATGGAAACATCACTATCGTTCTCACCGGCCTGGCCTTCGGGTCAGGGCTGGGAGACTTACTCAATTTTCAAACGAAGCTCTAAGTCCTTGGGTGGAGCTTTACCAAGGCGATCTCGCTTTAAGATCCTGAACAGCTCTCCCAGTCCCAACCACCTTTCCCTCTGTCACACTACAGTTTCAGTTCCATAGTCCATTTCCTTCCTGTTCCCCTGTATGTCATTGCCCGGCCCAGGTGGGGGCAGACAAGTCTCTTGGGAGACCTGATCCGGCCAGTGTGGAGGCTGAGCTCCAAGCGCAGATGAAGAAGCGCATGACCGTCTTGCGGCGGCAGGTCCGACAACCACACACCCCGACGGGGAGGACAGCAGGCAGCCTGGCCGGCTCCACTTTCACAAAGATGCGAGAGAGGCCCCAGCACAGTGGCTGCCCAGCTCTGACATTCAAGGTCACTAAGAATGAAGAAAGGCAGGGGACTTGGGCAGCCCTGCAGCCTCTGGCCCGGCATCTCCTCGGTAGCACCGCTTACGCACAGCCTTCTGGCCCCTTGAGGGCGAAGAGGTTATGAAAGGTAAAAACTGGCAAGGGGAAAATTAAGAACCTGAGAGAAGCTCAAGTGGCTAATCTTTAGACGTGTCAGAGCAACCTGCAGACGGACAACCGAGCTCACAGGCGTGGGTCCCCAACCGCAAGGTCAGGGCCGTTCAGGGAGCCCTCTCCCGTGTGCTCTGCTTGCTTCGCTTTTCCCAGTTTCTTCCAGGAGAGCCGAAAGAAGAGAAATTCTAACAGGCTTCCCACAGGGAAGCCTCAACTAATCTTCTGGATTACAAATGAGCTCCAATCCGTGTTTCACCACACGGGCTCGCCCACCACAGAGCAGAGCCGGTTGTCTGTCAGGACCCAGCGCCCACCGCGCTGGAATTCCCTCCTACAGAGAACCAAAGATATGCCTCCTCTCCTCCGGGGCCCGTGCCACTCAGATTCAGCAGCTCCTCGACTCCCACTTCCAAGCCGCACATGATTCACGGAGACAGTGCGCCTCTTACCGCCCGATACCCTTTTCATCCAACATCCACCCAGCTCCTTAGGCTCCCTCCCATCTGTTAACAGCACCGGTTTGGGAATCCTGCCCCTCACCGGAGGGCCCGGCTCAGCTTGTCGTAGTTCATCTGGGGTTTGCACTTCCTGCGGCCCCAGAGGCGGGCCACCTCGTCGGGGTCCTTGATGACGAACTCCCCGTACTCCCCCTGCTGCCAGGCGATGACGTGGCGGAACTCCTCCTTCTGCAGCAGCTCCAGGATGAAATGCCACAGCTGGACCTGCCGGGAGCCCGGGGACGCCTCGGCCTTGCAGGCCCAGTCCGGGAACGGATACCCTTTAATGTGAAAAGGGCAAGGTGCGGGGAGTCAGGAGTTAGGTTCAGACGTATCCGTATCCCCGACCTCATATCCCGATGCTCAGAATCTGGAGAGCGCTGTGCAAACGTGCCACAGACACGCCTTCGGTCAGCCGCGGCCGAGCGCCACAGGGAGAGGAAAGCAGGGACATGTCACCCTTCCTGTGGCGACCCTCTGCGCTGCTAGCACGGGACACCAGCACACAGGTGCGCCAGCCTCTTGCTCTTTCCTGCGTTCCTAAATCTCACACCTACTTGCCCGAGGGCAGGAACGTTCCAAAAGAAACAAACAGGAAAGACGCAGTAACGTTTTCGGGAGATAGAGCTGAAAACCCCTTGTCCCTGAGGGTGGAACCGTGTCTGTCACAGGGAGGAGACACTAAGGCTCGGGATAAAGGTGTGGTGGCCGGACACGCTGACATACATCCTAAGACACAAGCCTACGGCTGGGGTGGCAGCATCCACCCGGGCAAGAGGCTGTCTGGTCCGGGTCTGACATTAGTGAACGGAGCCCGAGCACAGAGAAAAGGAAGCCCCGAGGGACATTCCAGGAACGCGAGAGGATTCGCTGGTGCTCACCTCCACCTCCTTCGGGCTTCTCCGCGACGCTACAGCCTGCTTTCATCTTCGCCCTCCTGCTGAGAGACACAAGCCGCATCAGTTACTTTAGGTACTATTTGTTTATCCTCCTCCCAAGGTCTTCCGGCAGAGCCTTTCCCCAAACTTCCCTTCCTTATGTAATCCTTTTTCTTTCAAATATGCCACCTCCAGACTGCTAATCCCCAAGCCACCAAATGATGGTCCTCAGGTCATCAGCGGCAAAGGCCGTCATTATCTCTCACCTGACTTCAAACCACAAAGCGCAAGCGCTGTCCTCAGTCTTTGCTTGCTTCCTCCTGACCAGCCGTTCAGATGTAGGGAAGGAAGGCGCAGTGAGCGGGTCCGGAAAGGCGGCCAAACAAGCCGGCAGTTTTCCTTCTATCACTAGACAGACCCCGATGCCAGGACACACAGGCCTGAGTTCACCCAGATGTACCAGTTTTAAAAAAGAGTAGAAAAACCCAAGTCCGTCTGACTGCAACTCCAGAAAACATCTGACTTTGATTTACTTTGCCGAATTACGGGAGAAGGAAAACTCCTCCCAGACACGAACCCCCTCCTCCTTGAGAAACACCGTGGGACACAGGAAGTAAACACACACGCAGTTACTCTCATCGCTCAGAAGTATTTTTACACTTTCTCCTCTGACGGGAAGGAAGGCAGGCGAGCGCTTCAGAGAACCTCTGTTCAAAAGGCGCAGGGAGTCCTGCTGCTGTCTGGACGCACCGTCCAGACTCAGTTCCTCCCTGAACCCCGTGCCCAGCAGCAGGCAGGCACCGATCCGTCCACCCTTCAACAAAACGGAGGGAGGGGTGAAGCTGCCTGAGGGAGAGGCGGGCGGAGAGGGCAGCTCCCGGCTCTCGGTCCCCCAGGGTGGATGACAGGCCCTGCACCCACATTAGCAAGAGCGCTCCCGGGCGGAATGCAGGAGCCTCGGCGGCCTCAGGGTGGGGTGGCGGCAAATTCCTAACCTTGGAAATTTCATCTAACCTCGGATTCCTCCGGATCCTTGGAGCTTCCACCCCCCCACGAAGATAACCCGCGAGTCCGTGAAACAGTGAGGACGACACAAACACCCCCGAGCAAGGAGAAAACAGACGCAAACACACGCGCAGTCACACACACAAGACACAATCACCCGGCGCCGAGGCAGCAGCTTCCTCCGCCGCTGCCCCCATCTCCGCGACAACCGGGCAGGGAAACGCCGCTCCCTTCCCCAGGAGGCCGCCCGGACTCCGGGTCCCGGACGGCTCGGTCGGAAAGCAGGGCCTCCGTCCTGCCGCAGAAGCGCCCTCCAAGCGCACGACTCGGGGATCCGACCCCGCCGCGGCAAGGACTCGACCAGGAAGCCTCCTCCCGCACGCCGGCTCCCCGGTCGCCCCTCGCAGGAGCCCGCAGGCGCCTGTCCACGCCGCCCACAGATTCACCGCGAGGTCGCTCGTCCCGAGTCTGCAACCCCCCCGGGCCCTCGCCCTTCCTCAGCTCGCGGCCGTTCCCGGGAGGGCAAGGCGGGCCGAGGCCGGCGCTGCGGCTGCCCCGCGGCGGCGAGCTGCCCGGAGTCCCGGTCCCCGGAGCCTCCCTCCGTCCTGCCTCCGGCCGGGCCGGCCTCGCCCCGGGGCCCCGCGAAGCCACCGCACGAACGCGCCCCGGGTCCCGGCCGCCCCTCACACACAGGGGGCCTGGTCGCCCCCGCGCCGCCGGCGGCCCGGCCAGGCCGGTAGGCGGCCCGGCCCCGGGGACGCAGCCCGCGAGGCCCAGGGTCGGCCCGGCGACGAGGCCGGGACTCACCTCTGCCCGGCGCGGCCCGTCTTCGCTCCGGTCTCCTCCGCTGCGTCTCCGGCTCCTCCTCATCCACCCTAGCAGGAAGTGACCTCCGCGGCCGCTGTCGTCACTTCCGCCCACGACCAGGGGCGGGGCCGGGCTGGGGCGGAGCCCAGTCCTCGTCTCTCTCCTCGCCGCAGACGCCGACTTCCGCCGCCCCGCCCCTGCGCTCCTCCCGTCGGGCGCCGCGCTGCGTCACGCCGCGGGGGCACGTCACGCACGCTCGCGGGGGGCGGTGCGGCCCCGACGGACGGACGGCGGGACCTAGGGACCCGCGGCCGGGTGGGGGCGGGGGGAGCGTGGCCCGGGGCAGTCCTGCCGCCCACCCCGCGGGGTTCGGAGCGCTGCGCCCGCCGAGTCCCCGTGCGCCGGGTTCCGGGCCGGGTGTCCGGGGCAAGCGCTGGCTCGCCTCTCCCCGAGTGGCTGGGAAACGTCTCCCTTTCCTTTCCTTGTGCCCCGTTACCGCGCGAGCGGTCGCGAGTGTCTAGTGCAGAGCGGTCTGGGCCTGGCCCGAGGCTCGTTCGTGGGGAGGGCCGCCGGCAGCTGCCAGGCCTTGGTCCCCGGCTCGGGGCCCACCAGGGGCGGGAAGGGGAGGAGGGGTCGGCAGGGTCAGCAGAGGGGCGCGAGCGCCGAGAGGGGCAGACGCGGAGAACGGGACGGAACCCGGCAGGACCGGCGGGTGGGGACGAAGAGCAAACTCTCCTACACCTTTTCCTCCCGAGGGCGGTAGAGCGGGGGGACATCACCATCCGTCCCCTCCGTCTGGGCTTGGCTGTGCCCCGAGCCCTTCCGTAGCTGGTGATGGGTTAACTAGGAGGTGGGTCCCCTCTGGACCTCAAGTTGTCCTTTTTTTTTTTGTTTAAAAAAGAAAGGATAATAGCTTCAGGTGGGCGGGATGTAGGTCTTCTCTAGTTAGAAAAGGATACGACCCAGGTGACCAAAAGGAGCAAAATTCTAGTGGCCTAGCGAGGATTGCTGATAGGGCGACTATACCATGACCTCTTTGTAGGAACTGTCATATGTACTTTGTGTTTTCTTCAAGTGCCTGGAAATATTCTACCTAAATATCTGATGTTTGGTGGAAATTGCTTAATAAAATACTGGGGTTTAGCTGAACGATGTAAATTGTAGTTGGATTCTAGTGCCTTCAGGTACTAGCTGTGTGACCCCCATTAAGTAACCTAACCTCTCTGTGTCAGTTCATATAGTACCTGCTCATGTGGTTGTATTAAATATGTTAAATCATGCAGAGTGGGTAAAAGAAGAGCCCGTTGTAAACAGGGCAGATGAGCAGATATTACCAAAAGTAATCCTGAGACTCATCATCACAGAAGCCCTTAATCTTACTGGTTGAGTCAACTCAGAAACCACAGTGATGAGGAACAGCTTCCTCTGAAAGTCTGAAATCGCTAAGCCTTGGCTTGGGGCTCCAATTGTCGTGGTTACAGCCAGCCCTTCGCCTCCAAGGACCCTGTGTTGTACAGAGGGCCAGCAGCCAGAGCCAGGCAGTCTTGGCAAATCCTTACCCTGGTCTCCTAGTGGTTCTCTGCTGCTGCTTCTCTGGCTAATTAGGGTCACAAAGGATGACTTGAGTAAGTAAACAGTTAACAGAGACAAACAGGTTTCTCTGCCTGGCTGGAGTCTGAATGGATGTATCCAAGTAATGTTTATGTCCCAGCAGAGCTCAATGCAGCTTTTTAACATTAAAATCTAATCCCTGGCCTCAGACTCAACAGGCAGATTTGGGTTTGACTGTGCAAACTGGGAATTCCCTAAAAATTCCTGGGTCCGGGGGCGCCTGGGTGGCTCAGTGCGTTAAAGCCTCTGCCTTTGGCTCAGGTCATGATCCCATCCCGCATCTGGCTCTTGCTCAGCAGGGAGCCTGCTTTCTCCTCTCTCTGCCTGCTTCTCTGCCTACTTGTGATCTCTGCCTGTTAAATAAATAAATAAATAAATAAATAAATAAATAAAATCTTTAAAAAAAAAAAATTCCTGGGTCCAGATAAGTAAGTTTCTCTGTGGTGGCAGAATCTGGAAAGACTGGGATGGTTAGGGGCTCCTTGCTCAGTGCACTCGAGGTCCCTGTCCCCTCACTTCCTCCCTATGGCACCTGCTGCCTTCACCTGCTCTAGACAGGCTTCCACAACCATGGAGTTTCTTCTTGCCCCTGAAATACAGAGAGCACGAGCTTTCTGAAAGCATGCGGTGCAAACACGGAGGCATAGTCTAGGAGTCAAGATAGGTCGTAACTGCTCTTGAATTTCCATTTGCTCCAGGCCCTCTCTGGCCAGTGCCACTGCCCACTGCCCTGCTTCCTACCCATCTTTGCAATTGTCCCACATGCTGGGAATGAGTTCTGTTCCAAATCTCACACTCTCAACTCTGCTCTCAGCACAGCACAGCTACTCCATTGCTTCTAAACTTTAAAAAAGAGAGAAGAAAAAGAACCAAAGTTTATTTTCCTTCCAGAAAACCTTTCCTGGATTGGGTGTGTGTGTGCGCGCGCGCGCGTGTGCCTGTGTTTCGTCCTTGCCCTGCTTGCTTTTATCGCTCCCATTTTAATTTGTGCACTTATATTCCACATCTCAAACTTCCCTGGCCACGTGTATGGTAGAAATGCTTTCCTCTCTACCCGTGGGGTTGGTCACCGTGGCACATCTACTGTGGCACATACCATCAATATGGCGTGCACATGTTTGGTCTTCTTGGTGTGTTTGTCTTAGCCTGCAGG